GCTGGCGAATCCCAACAGTGTGATAACTAAGGTACTCATCTACGTTCCACCACTAGAATTTGCACCATGAGGAAATGCACGCAAACGAATACGGATATTAATAATTAAGATGCAAATTAAGCATTGTGTACAATGCAGTCGGTACATTTCTTTGTTAAATTTGGATGATGGTATTTGCTCTAGGCCTGTTTCTACTGGTAAGGACCTAACCCGAGTCTGTGTAAACAAAACACATATCTGTTCGACAAACTAAATCTTGTGCTTGTACCATGTGGTACGTGTTTCAATTCCAACTATACTTGACTGTTACTGAAACGTATACTCTTCGTAGCTTGGTACAATGCATGCTACACGTCGCATGCAACAACGATGATGGTGGTCAGGTTTAAAGCTTATTCTAAAATTTGCAGCACCAGAAGGAATGACAAACTCATGATGCAATCTTGACATTTAGTGTTTACATTCGTTCTTAGCGCAATACACAATTTGCTATTAATTATAACGAAAGCATCCCTGCTCAAATAGCCTTTACCATATTGTATTCAATATATCTATTCCTTGACATGTATCTTCGTGTCAGCTATGCAATTAATATGACATGTATTTATTTCAATTAATCTTCTACGAAAACAACAGTTTCAATTACAAATAAACACAAATAATGCTTCCGACATGACAAAAGTTGTATCATTTATTGGCCCTATTGAGCTTATCTGAATATTTGAAGAATGCCATTCAAATATCGCCTGAATTAATACATAAATGCTAAATTGCATGCCACGCCATGGTACTCATACAGTGTTTAGCATACCTATGTATCCTTAATCAGATTGACGACAAGTGGCGCCAGCATTTGCAAAGCGATTAAATAAGCAAAAACCTGAATTTATCCACCTACGGTGAGATCTGACCCTCCTTATTCGAATTAGAGCATAATAGCTAAAGACTGTTCATGTTATAAACCGTGATTTTTAGCCGTAGGCTAGTTCATCACGTGCGTCTGACCCTTTTGTGGTGGTTTGAGGAAACATCATGAAGGCAGAGTGTATATTTTGTGGAATGGGTTTAGGGGAATGGCACTTCTATTAGCAATTTCTCAAGGTCACGCACCCATATGACGTGTTTGTTTGTTTACATTTATCTGCTGCTTGCTATTCTATCCATTCCAATCGACAGAATTGTCCAAAACGGGTTGAAAACGATTTTACAACGCTCCAAACTTCTCAGGTCCGTGTGACTGTTGTCGGTAGCCTCTTTTTCTTCGGTAACCTTGCCATTTGAACTACATATTAACCAGCTGTTCTATTATCGGCAACTCAAAATCAACCGTATTCTGTAGTGCGTATGTTTAATTTGAAGAAAAAAAATCTGGCAAACAGGTTTGCTCAGTCGTAAAACTGTTATCAGATTGAAACGAAGTATTTTGGTGAGAAAATACAGCGATAGTGTTCAAATTTTGGTTGCCGAAAACAGTCAATGGGTGCCAAAGTCATCATTTACCCTACATGTAAATAAAAAATTGATAGCCTATCTGAGGTGAATCCCAACAATTTTCACAAGCATCCCTTTGCTATTGTGGACAGAATTCTTAAGCATGAATTAAAACTTTTTAATTCTAAACGAAATTCTGAAGAATAATGAGTAGTTCCACGTCAAAAGCCCTAAAAATATTTTTTTTCACTCGTCCTTCTTCGATTTGCATGCAACTTTGCATCATTTTTTGTTATGGACAATCATTGACATTTTTGTAAAAAATAGGCCATGTTGGATCTTGCATTGCTTTTTTTCAAAATGGCATCTTTGACATTTTCCAATAAATTTTAGCACGAAAACGTCACTTCTGATCGAAATGTCATTTGAGACAAAGTGGTTGAGAGAGTGAGTGGTCTGCTTGGCGTCCATTTTAATGCACGTCTCGTCGTCCATTACGATGCATTTCGGCTGTACCAACCACTCGCGATACAGCTTCCTCGTATTTTGTTTATCGGTTCGGCTAGGCGCCTTTCTTACACGCACAGAAAATTGTTTGCATTGAACCAAAAAAACTTTATTTGTATTTAAACAAACAATTGCGGTTGAAATTATATTGCATTTTGTTGTTTCAATAATACTTATTCAAATAAATTCAAAATAAGATTCTTTTTGTTTTAATAAGCCACTCTTCAACTGCAACTATTGTTAAAATAACAATATTCTTTTATTAAGCCAACAATAGTTAATTTTAATTTTGCATTTATTTGTTGTGACCGTTCCCCGGGCCATGACTGTAAAAATAACTACCAACCATTCCCTCGTTCCCGGACAAAAATGTAAACAATAACACAAAACTGTTCTCGTTTGATTCAGTTTTTTTCCGCGTTCGACGTAAATATTGTTTTTAAATTTCGGGAAATAAGTGCAAGATTTCCGAAAATCTTGAGACTTGAGGTAAGTAAGTATGCTGTAGTTGCTAAATATAAACATTTTTTCTTTTTTTTCCGTTGATTTTTTTCCGTCGATCTTATTTTCCGTACTGAGTACCAATGCTCCCGACGCCAGGAAGGCAGCTCCCACACCTGGACCCTACCTATCGACCCATCAACTCATGAACCGGAGAGATTTTAAGCCTCAGAAAGGTTTTTTTTTAATTCAATCGCAATTCTGTTTGTTACTAAAAGAAAACAAAACATTATTGAATCAATAAACATATTTTTATTTCTACTGCATATATTTCCAGGCTTAATAAAATATGTATGATTGAATCAACAAGAAATCTCTTTTAAAAACAAACATATTTTTTTGTTGACCCAGCTGCCAAATTTGACAACTCACGTCAAAACCATGAAAGCTCTTGTAAATTTGAAAAGATTTTCTTTTTGATTAAACAATCAATGGGTTTTTAGAAACAAAGATGCTGGATTGTTGAAATAATAATGATTTCTTTTTACAGCCAAAACAAAATGAAATACTTATCAATTTAACGTCAAATATTATTACGTTTAAAATATTTTTTTCTGCGTGTAACATAGAATTCTCATTTTTTTTTTCTACGTGTGCCTTAAAGACATGAAGTCCGGTCCGCTTCGTTGTCTACTGGACAAACCAGACTACCAAAAGCTCCGAATCTGCAATATAGCGGGAAAACCATATTTTCACCATTTCAATTAATTTTAGGGTGTTAGTTTCTTGGTAGAAGTTGTTTATAATTAAATAGGGTACTTTAAAAAAAATACGATTAGGGTGGTCCTCATTTAAACTTAAATCAATCCATTTTTTTTTTGTATTACGTTATATTTAGATGGTTATATTCATCAGCAAAGTAGTAGAAAAAATATTTCAAGCTGAAGACACCATTTCACTAGCTCTTCATTAACATGCCCTTAAAATTCAGTATTTATTTATTCTGAAATGCCACACATAACGCAACGTTTAAGGTTTAACGTTTTACAGCAAGAAGAACTTTTTTTCAATGGAGTAGATAAGCTTTTAAAATACCCAAAAACATAACATAACTAAAATAACACGTAACTTGATATAGCAATTTGCTGCCTTCTGCAAAAATGTAGGCTGTAACTAGTTCTTAAAGTTTTCCCTATACTATGTTTCGGCAAAAATCAAAACGAAACAGTTAGAATAAGAAATTGATTGCTTAAAATCTGAAAATTAGCTCTAGCTTGGTAAAACGAAGAACAAGATATATGGCTTGAGCAAACTTCCTTAACATATTTTTTTTTCTAAGACTTGCTGAAGAATGAGATAAATATTTCATTTAAATTTTAAATAAGGTGACCCCAATCAGATTTTTCAACAAGAATACGAATATTATTTCAAACCACTTTGCTCTTCATTTGACCATGCTATTTATCTGCATTTTATTAGGGTGCCTCCTAAAAATCTGTTTTTTATCCAAAGTTTATTGTTTTGCACTTAGTCAAAAAGTAGTCCGAGGAACTAGTTACAGCCAATGGTTTTGCAGAAAACAGCAAGTTGCTATATTTTGGCGTTTATTAGTTACATGTACAGCTGTGCTCGATAAAATAGCAGCGAATGCCGATTTTCATACAAAATGGTCAACTTTGACATGATGTAACTTTGTTAACTTATGATCAATTGAGCTGAAATGTTCACCAAAGAACTACAAATATGATCAATTTTATGATTACAAAGTATTAAATTTTTGAAAGAACCTGCCGGAAAGTGAGACTCCAGGTAAAATTGTTCAAAATAATAGGGGTGTTCGAGCAAGAACTATGCCGGCCACCGAAGGTCTTACTTTGCTGCTGTTTAGCAGCCACCGAAAAATGTACAAAGTCCGGTTTGCATGAACCGAATTACTGACCGGGAGCTTGGGTCGCCACAAGCCTTTTTCGTCCAGGAAACACCACTATTTCTTCAGATGTAGGCCACTTGAGAAGCTCGTCGACCTTTTCACTAAGGTCCGACTGAAGCTACACTAATTAAGTACCACCGCACAAATGACAAAGTCCCGCAAAGTTGCACGTCGAACGTTAAGTACCCAGACCGTGATAAGAAAGTGAAGCACAGAACTATCGACCGCACGTCTGTTTCAATTCGTTTGTTAATGACTACTAATCTATATACAATTTTTACATAGGGAGTGGGTTTGCATCGATCGTTTTGGTTAACGGTCAGTGATCGGTGGACGGAGGCTGATTGCGCATGCGCGCTCTATCCACTCTTTACAGAGAGATTTACACTGTAGGGTGTTGTGTGGTGCGTTTAGGTAGATATACATGTTAGCTCCATCTCCAACATTCCGGCCACCTTGAAACGCGGAGGCGTTTCAACAATCATCAGCGACTTCAATAAATCGGTTGCGTGTTGATCTACGGTGCAGTTGATCGATTCCATCGTGGATCCTCGCCAAAGACATGGAACAAAAAAGAAAGACCAGGTAGATCGAACGACGAAGCTTAGGGGTATTGGAAACGCAATTACCTGAACTAAGCGCGGGTGCGCTTCGAGCAAGTTTTCCCTTTCGGGTTGCTCTACCTGGATATTTAGAGGGCTGGATTCGGTGACGGTAGCAGAGCGATCCTTGCTACTGGACGGACGATGTCCTTGCCAGGTGCTGTTCGTAATGTGACGACTCGGACGACACCATCCTTGCCTGGATGGAGCTTGGTAATTCTACCGAGCGGCCAGCTGGCTGGAAGAACGTTGTCCTCCTTAACGATAACGATTCTGTCGACTTCCACAGTGACAGGTGGATTGCAGCCTTTGATAGCACGTGACTGCAATTGTTGCAGGTATTCGGGATACCAGCGAGACCAGATGTTCTGGAGATGTTTCTGGGTCAGCTCGTACGAGTTTAGGCGATTGTCAGGAACCCCACGCAGGTCGGCTTCCGGAACAGCATGCAAATTACTTCCGACGAGAAAGTGTCCTGGAGTAAGAACCTCCATATCGGATGGCTCACTCGGCATTGATGTTAGCGGACGGGAGTTGAGGCTTATCTCGACTTGGGCTAGGAGAGTCAACATGTCTTCGTAGCCGATGCTGATGTTCCCGATGGTCTTCAACAGGTGCTTCTTTGCAGACTTCACGGCAGCCTCCCACAAGCCTCCAAAGTGAGGCGCTCGAGGTGGAATAAATTTCCAACGGATCTCGTTCTCGGAACACCAGTTCAGGACTTTCTCACGGTCGGAATCGTTCACCTTCAGCATCTGGTAGACACGGTACAGTGCGTGCGAGGCTCCTTTGAACGTAGTGGCGTTGTCTGAATGCAGTTCAGCAACCTTTCCTCTGCGGGCGACTAATCGACGAAGAGCTGCTAGGAATGCCGCTGTAGTAAGGTCACTCACTAGCTCGATGTGCACAGCCCTTGTAGCGAAGCAGACGAAGATCGCTACGTATGCCTTCGTTGGGCTGCGATTGCGGACGGGTGACTTCAGTAAGAACGGTCCACAGTAATCAACGCCGCAGACGGAAAAGGGTCGAGTTGGTGAGACTCGGGATGCCGGTAGATCTGCTGTGTCCTGCTGGACTAGTGTGGGCTTGCTACGAAAGCAAGTGTGGCAATGGTGAAAGACGGATTTTACAAGATTTCTGCCGCCCAGAATCCAATACTTCTGGCGGAGAGTGGCTAGCAGGAGTTGCGGGCCTGCGTGCAGAAGCTTCAAGTGAAAAGAACTAGCCAGCAGAGTCGACAGTGGATGTTTGGCAGCGAGCACGATCGGATGCTTGACAAAGTCGGAGAGTTCAGCGTTTCGCAGCCGACCACCAACACGAAGGATACCGTCTTGATCGATGAATGGTCTCAGCCACTTCAGCTTGGATGACTTAACGACTCTTTCACCACTGACAAGATCGGAAATCTCTTCTGAAAATGTCTGCTGTTGTGCTAGACGACATAAGCGTAGTTCTGCACGTTGAAGTTCCATGGTGGTGAGTGGAGGAATTGGCTTGTTTTCAATGCTGATAGTGGTGTACTTTACCGGATCACAACGGCGCAGCGATGCACGTTCTCGTAAAGAACGAACGTAGCGTAAGCAGACAGCTGTAACACGACGAAGCTTGGAGCAACCAGAGTAACGAGCAAACAAATCGTCGCAGAAGTCCACCTGAACAACGGTCATCGCAACGAGTGTTGCCTTACGAACTTCTTCATCAGTCGCTCCCGTTTCTTCTTCGGATGGAATTGGTTTCGGCCAGGCTTCCGGAGCACGTGACAGCCACTCAGGACCGTTCCACCAGCGCTTGCATTGCAGAAGGTCCACTGGATTCAGTCCTCGCGAGATATCATCAGCAGGGTTCTCGATGCCAGCAATGTGTTTCCAGCAGTTCACGTTGCTTGCGTGCTGGATTTGCGCTACTCGATTCGCTACGAATGCCTTCCAACGGCTAGGCGATGATTGTAGCCATTGAAGAACGGTGGTGGAATCCGTCCAGAAGAAAGCAGTGGCAGATATCTTCAGGGCAGCATTCACCTTCTTGTAGAGCTGCGTCGATAATCGTGCAGCGCAGAGTTCTAGCCGGGCTATCGAATGCCGACTGGATAACGGCGCAACCTTGGATTTGGCCGTCAGAAGTTGAATTGAAACACCGTCACTAGTTTCGGCCCGCACGTAACAGCAGGTCCCATACGCTCCCTTGGAGGCATCGGCGAAGAAGTGAAGCTGAATGCTAATAGCGTTAGGCAGCGAGACGAATCGTGGAACACGAACTTCACTCAATAAATGGAGAGTAGCATGGAAATCCTTCCATTCTTCTTGCAGCTTGCGGGGGAGTGCAGTATCCCATTCGCAATCTTCACCATTCTGCTTCAAGGCCCACAAACGCTGCATGAAAAGTTTGGCGACAACGATCGTAGGACCCACGAGACCAAGCGAGTCGAAGATTTGAGCGATGTAAGACATCACCTTACGCTTCGTCAGGATCGCAGCGGGAAGTGGTAGCTGGACCTTGAACCGAAGTACGTGATTCGATGGTTCCCAGACGAGACCGAGAGTTGAAACGGCTGGCTCATCTTGTAGGTCGTGTAGAGGGTTGAGTGCCAGATCTTCCAGTGGAACGTCCTGGAGAACCTCAGGAATATTTGATGCCCACTTCTTGATTGGAAATCCAGCAGCACTGAGCATCTCTGTTACCTGCTTGCGAAGCTGGATGGCAGATTCTACATCGTCGGCACCAGACAGAAAATCGTCAACGTAGAAATCGTGGATCACCGCTTCTACAGCAACTGGAAATTGGTCTCCATTATCTAAAGCGATTTGTTGCAGAGTCCTCGTGGCCAAGAACGGAGCAGACGCAGTACCGTAGGTGACTGTCTGCAGTTCGTAGGTAGAAATCGGATCGGTGGGGCTCTTCCTGAAGCGGATTCGTAGGAATCTTCGGTCGCTGGCGAAATGAAGCATTTGGCGATACATTTTCTCCACGTCGGCAGCCATAGCAACGAAGCGAATGCGAAACCTCAGCACCAGTGCTTGAAGATCTTCCTGAACGACTGGACCAACCAATAACGTGTTGTTCAGTGAATATCCCGACGACGTCTTGCACGACGCGTCAAATACGACCCTGACCTTCGTTGTTGTACTCGACTCCTTGAAGACAGCGTGGTGCGGGATGTAGCAATGAGGAATGTCATCGTCTACCGGTTCGTCAAGCTTCTTCATGTGTCCTAATTCGAGGTACTCGTCAATGAAGCGGTGGTATGCATCCTTGGTAGCAGGATCACGTTCGAGTCGCCGCTCGATGCTTCGAAGACGACGATCTGCGATTTCCCGGGAGCTTCCTAGGACAACTTCGGGATTGTCGGTTCGAGGAAGACTGACGATGTACCTCCCAGATGGATCACGAGTAGTGGTCGCTGTGTAGTGTTGCTCACAGCGATTTTCTTCCACAGATAGTGGTGGACCATCGGAGATGGTTTCGATTTCCCAGAACTTCAGGAGTGCGGTTTCTAGAGGATCGTCCTTTGTCGAAAGATTGCAGATCCGAGGAATGCATTTTGACTGATTGGATGTTGTTCCAGCGACAGCCCATCCGAATGGCGTTTCAGTCAACCATGGAAGATCATTGCCCAATGAAATCTTCCGACCAGTGTGTAGCTCCCAGAAGGCTTCACTTCCGATGATAAGGTCTATCCTTCCTGGGATATGGAATCGTGGATCTGCGAGAGTAACATCCGGGAAATTCCACGACGAAATATTGATCGGAATTGTAGGCAGCTCCGCTGACGGATTCTTGAGGACTAGGAATTGAAGCTTCGTGGAGAATTCCTGCGTCCGCGATTGAACCGTTGCGGTGATAGCGCTTTTAACGTTCTGCGTCGAGAGGCCGATTCCTGCTATTGATATGTCCACCTTTGACCGTGGGTTGAATAACCGCTTCGCCAGCGGCTTCGAAATGAAGTTGGACATTGACGCCGAGTCCAGTAAGGCCCTTGCCTGATGCTTTCTGCCATGATCATCGACGATATTCAGGACAACCGTTTCCAGCAGAACGATGCTGCATGCAGTTTGGACTGCCATGCTGACATTGGGTGAAGCGGAGCTCCCACATGAAGGACCCACACTTGTGGATGGAATCGGTTGCTGTACAGGAGAAGATGATGATCCGGAGGAACTCGAAAATGCCTTGGATGTACCGGAATCGTGCAGCAGAGAATGGTGTCGTTCGTGGCACGTTCGGCACGTAAACTTCGAGGCGCACTTTTTCGATTGATGTCCGCTTCCCAGACAGTTCCAGCACAACCGTTTCTGCGTCATGAATTCTCGGCGAAGGCGTACATCCTTCCCGAGGAATACTGGGCAGTTGCGAAGGACGTGGTTGTCAGAACAGGACAGTGGACAAGAAGCATTCGAACTGGAGGATGCAGTGGCGTTTGCTGCGAACTTGAACTTGGAGGGCTTCGGTGTGCTACCGGCCACCTTTGAAGATGCCGGTTGCTGCTGTTGATCGTAGCCAACGGAGTTTAACACTCGAACACGCTGGTAGAGGAATTCTACCAGTTCGTCATACTTGACGTCGTCCTTTTCGCTCGTCTTCTCTTCCCAGGATCGCAAAGTGGATTGATCCAGCTTGTACGACAGGATATTTACCAACGGAGTATCCCAATGCTCCACAGGTTCGTTCAATTTCGCGAGCGCCCGTACATGGCGCTGGAAATCATCGACCAGGTTGTGGATGCGTTTAGCAGACTCCTGCTTCACCGCCGGCAAATCGTAGAGTGTCCGGAAAAGCTGACGTTTGAGAAAACGGCGATTATCGTACCTCTTGATGAGAGCATCCCACGTAGAGGCGTAATTGTCGGCTTCAATATCGATGGACTCGAAAGGCTTCTTTGCCTCCCCTTCGAGCGACTGCAAGAGGTATTGCAGTTTGGCGACCGTTGGTATGTCCGCATTGGAGTGAACCATGGACGAGAAAGCGTCTCGGAATGACAACCAACGTGAGAAATCGCCATTGAAACGTGGCAGGTCGATCTGTGGTAAACGGAGGTGGAATGTGGTTGGCGGAACGACAATTGAAGTATTCAGCTGTTGACTGGTATCGGCGGGACGCTTGGAAAGTAGGAAACCCTTTGCGGTGCAGAAACGATGCTCGAATTCCACTCTTTCCTCCAGATGAGCATCCAGTTCGTCAGAATCTAGCCTTTCAATGGTGTCTTGGTTCTCCAAGAAGGCATTGTTCGCTCGGTCCAACGAATCAAGCCGCACTTGCACTTGACAGGAATCTCGTTCTGCTTCGAAGCCCTTGACGAACTTTTCCACTGATTTCAGGATCGCCAACAAAGACTTCTGTTGAATCAAACGATCAGTCAGCATCTTCTCCTCTCTCGAAGGCATTTTAACGAAAATCGAACGGAAACGCAAACTTTAATTCAAAAACGAATCTCCTTCCCGACGCGAGCTATACGTTTCTTCGCGACACCGAACCGGCGAGGGCAATACAAATCGATCGAATCAAATCCTTCCCGTCGCGGTGTATTGGCCTTCACGACGAAATAAGCGAACGGAAATGGGACGTTTAATCGAAAACGATAATCCTTCCCGTCGCGAACAATCCCACTTCTACGCGGTATCGCAATCAAGGGCGCGAAACGGTTTTCCACTTGAATTGCGTACCGTCTTCCACCAATTGCCACAATGACTCGAAAAAATTTCAAAAAGTCACCCAACTTTCGTCAATCAATGAAATTGGTTTCAGTTGATTGGAATATTTTCTTAGAAGCTACTGCTTGCTTACCATGCATTAACAACAATGGAACGGACTCACCAGGTACTCGTAGAAAGTGTTGAAAGTTCGATCCAGTCCTAGCAGTGGTACGGTGTACCAGCACAATCAGCAGTAAGCTTGTTGTCCAGTAGGCTTTCTTCACAGTGACGCCGAAATAGCGTCGAAAATGGCCTTTCCAGGCGGCAATGGGGGGTCAATCAACTTGACCGATCACTGTTTCCAAAATGGTTCTTCCGCGTTATTCACCACACAGCACTAAGTCTTGGAATTCGTCCAAGCGAATATTCTTCCACACAGCACGAAATTTCACCGCCGACGGGGTTCGGGGTCACGAGTACGGAGGTCGTCCACACACGGGTAATTAATTAGCACCCACCGAGATGCTAATTTGCACGCACGATAGCACAATTGGCTGCAACCGTTTGTTCGATTGTTCTTCACTTACAATCAATACCGTGTACCCGCGATGGACATCACCCTTCAGCGCGATGGCGCTTATTTGTTCCCGGACAAAGGCCACGGCTAACCAGTTCGACTGATCACACAAAAGATTCTATTTTCAGCGGCAATACGGTACACTTTCCGGCCGCGGAATAGCCTTCGATCCGGCTCGAAGGACCAAATGTTCGAGCAAGAACTATGCCGGCCACCGAAGGTCTTACTTTGCTGCTGTTTAGCAGCCACCGAAAAATGTACAAAGTCCGGTTTGCATGAACCGAATTACTGACCGGGAGCTTGGGTCGCCACAAGCCTTTTTCGTCCAGGAAACACCACTATTTCTTCAGATGTAGGCCACTTGAGAAGCTCGTCGACCTTTTCACTAAGGTCCGACTGAAGCTACACTAATTAAGTACCACCGCACAAATGACAAAGTCCCGCAAAGTTGCACGTCGAACGTTAAGTACCCAGACCGTGATAAGAAAGTGAAGCACAGAACTATCGACCGCACGTCTGTTTCAATTCGTTTGTTAATGACTACTAATCTATATACAATTTTTACATAGGGAGTGGGTTTGCATCGATCGTTTTGGTTAACGGTCAGTGATCGGTGGACGGAGGCTGATTGCGCATGCGCGCTCTATCCACTCTTTACAGAGAGATTTACACTGTAGGGTGTTGTGTGGTGCGTTTAGGTAGATATACATGTTAGCTCCATCTCCAACAAGGGGTTTTGTTATTTGACAATTTACGTGCTGCAAAAATTTTAAACATTTTTAACTATTATGTACATTTGTTAATTGGGTGAAAATTGTTGGAAATTTGAGAAATGTAAAATTTAAAATTTCAAAATTAAGCTGAAAAGAAAGTTATTAGTACTGCTTTTATGTTGAACAATTTTACCTGGTGTCTCACTTTCCGGCAGGTGCTTCCAAAAATTTGATATTTTGTAATCGTAAAGTTGAACATATTTGTAGTTCATTGGCGAAAGTTTCAGCTCAATTTATCATAAGTTAACAGAGTTACATCATGTCAAAGTTGACCATTTTGTATGAAAATCGGCGTGCGCTGCTATTTTATTGAACACAGCTGTAATTTTCTAATTATTTAAAGGTATTTTTAAATTTTATATACTCCACTTTAAAAAAGATGTACTCACAGTATTTATCTTAATGGTTGGTTATGTAATATGCCGTCTTGATAAAATTATATATTATAAAACAGCAAAAAAGGTTATCTTCCATTTACACAACTACACAAAGACTATAGTACAATGTGCAGTCTTTATCAGTGTCATTCCCTCTAAAGACACTAAAGACAAACCTAACCCTCTTAAGTACTCATCTCCTAGATAAAAATGTCAAGATCACAGGTATAAAAATGAAACTACAACGTGTAGAATCGGATCCTACCTAACTAATTATAACCAAAGATTTAAGTAAAGTAAAGGACTTGCACTGTCGCATTAATGACCCTTCGCTCATTTTCAACTTCTACTCAATGTTTATACTGCCGTACTCTAATGGAACTATCTACCTATCCTCTTCTAAGACCATTTTCTAGCTAATAAATGATCACACTAAAGCTTCATGTTAGATAGCTTTTCCAACCAACTCTGAAAGTAAAGGAGAAAAATCTATTTCAACCTCTAATAAGGAAAAAATCCCAAAGGCTTGGTAGCCATCATAATGAAGTAATGACATTGGGTTGTTAGCGGAATGCTTAAATAAAACAGCAAAAAAGGTTATCTTCCATTTAATTTCACTTGACTCTGATGAAGACTGCACATTGTAGTCGAAATACGTATCTGTCATGGATACCAAAAAGTCACAGGTAGTGGGAAGGGTAAAGCCATTCGGTAAACGTTGCTGGCAGATTTATAATAGCATATAATAAAGCATAGTGTAAAATTGCAAGGAAGGGGGCGGGCCTGGGATTGAACTTCCTACCATCTGCTCAGTAAGCAGAAATGGTAACTAATAAGCTACCAAGCCCCTCCTACAACTTCTACGAAGGTTCCCCCCTTAAATGAATAGAAAAGAAGTAAATTTTATTCCCGCTAAATTGCCGTTTTGGACCATACTGGAATGTGCGAAATAAAACACACTTTGCGCTTTGCCTATCCCTTTTGTTTAAGTAGCAAAAACTGATATTTAAAGCGCTGTACAAGCATATCTTCAATCAGTCACTAACAGTAAGCAGTCGTTATCGGTGGAAAATAGAAATAGTTTGAAGGACAGTGATTCAGTGCTGTCATACAAAGTATCGTTTCTGTTAAGGTGAGTATGTTATTCAATACATATTGTAGACGAACATAAGTTATATGTATAAAAATAAGAATATTTATATTTTACGGTCTATTTCAACGATCACCAGGACAAGGATATAAATAACGGATTTGTCATGACCCAATGTATTCGACCGCATAAAAAAGGATCTGCGAATTTTATCAGAAAGTAACAAACAGAACTTGAACACGATTGGTGATACAATAAATTTCAATTTACGCATCTGCGGATCTTGCCATCGAGAAGTTGATAGACACGACGCCGGTAGTGTAGTGGTAAGCGTGATTACCTCTCACCCCAAAGGGCCTGGGTTCAATCCCAGACGGCGCCGCCGGAAGGGAAGTAAAGTCGTCCCGGTTCATGAGTTGATGGGTCGATAGGTGGTAGGGTCCAGGTGTGGGAGCTGCCTCCCTGGCGTCGGTAGCATTGGTGCTCAGCACGGAAAACAAGATCAACGGAAAACAAATGAAGAGAAAAAAAGTTGTTAGACGGGCTAGAAGAGATGAAAAGCAAATCCTCGCTGAAAACTTGAAAACTGTTGTTGGAAGAGTTTTGCTTGAAGTACCCAGCCCGTCAACGATACCATCAACAATATTAGTGGCCACAACTGCAACAACTGATGATGAATTTTCGCGACCTGTTAACATCGAAATATTCATCCGAGGAATTGCTGGGATTCAAGTTCCACCGATAGATTCAAATAAGTCAAACAACGTTTACTATCCTGAACATAAATTTAAGGAAATCAATCAAGGAGTGAGGAAGTATCATATCTGAAAATAAAATTAAAGCAAAATTGTTTAGATCATGATGCAAAGGTTTTTAATTTGATTAAATAGACGTATTAAGTATTAATGTAATTATATTTTATTGAATACATTTTTATTAAGGAAATGAGTGCCATAATTTGCGAATGGTATAACAAATCTCGGATACTTTTTCAAACAGACTTATCTGCTTTTGTAAACAATGCATTCGATCGAAGATTTGACGCAACTGGAGACTCACCCACGCACACTAACACCACTATTAAGTGGGGGAAGGTTTCCCCTATCTGATAGTGGTGTTAGTATGCGTGGACGAACTCCCAGTTACGTCAATACATAAGAGATCACTAGGGTGGGTCAAATTTGTATGGCGGATTACACACCCCAGTTACCCACTGCTAATTTAATTCGCACTGAAGACCTCAACAATTGTGCCAAATTTGAACGAATTTGATTGCGATTGAATTTGCGAGGGAATTTTAAAGTTAGTATGATCAAATTTACGGGCTATTTGAGATTAAAATATAAATTTACCTGTCTGAAATTCGCACATTACGCAAAATGGCCCATACCTTAAACTTAGATTGCGTAAACTATGCAGGATAGCTTAGTCGAAGATCGTAAATCAATTCAAAAACATAAAAAGTTATGCTTACTTTTGGCCAGTACTCCGCATACCCACCTATCGTATATGAGATCAGCGAGCATGCTCTTTGAATGCCCAGCAAAATGCTGAATACTAAAAAATAACTTTAAATTTAAAATTTATTACGATTTTAATTAACTTTTTGCACAGAAGTCTGATCGATTTCCGGCTTTCTATAAAGTTGTTCTGCATAGTTTGCTCAATATAACACCCCATTCACACTGCAACCTATATTACGTGATCTTGATATCAGCATCCATACATCTAGTTTTCGCTGGATATAATAGTTATGTCATTTGATATCAAGATACACTGAAGTCTTTTTTTACACGGTTTTTTTTTACGTGGTTTTTTTTTTTACACGGTTATTTTTATACGGTTTTTTGCGATTTACACGGTACGTTTTTAACGATTTCTCGACAACGATACAACGACTTGATTCCAATCACATTATCCGTTTCAAGCTATAGGTAATCGAATGACATACTTTAAAAAAAATCATAATTTTCTGTGTAAATACAGAAATTTTTTAAATATGTCTATGTGGACCATAGCATGCTATAATTACAAATGGCATCAAAATCCGATTTTTTAAAAACATGTAAACATGTGAAAAATCAAAATCTCGTAAGTTTTTTTTACACGGTACGTATCCCCCGTGTAAAAAAAGACCTGACTGTATTCTATATCACTGTATATGGATTTTAATTGTGATGTAAACATTCATTCTCGTAAACTTGTATTTCATATCACGTAAAGGAGCAGCTTTTAGCAATGTTGCTTACAATATTTGCAACTTTTTATGAAATATCTCACTTCACAAGATTTATAATGCAAACTTATGATATGTGATGCTCCATTTATGTGCATCATATTGAATAGAAATTTACACTACTTTTTCGAACTGTGTAGGTTGTAGTGTGAACGGTGTATAAATTTCATATATGGTCAATATTGAGCAATGCGTGATTTGGTATTTACTATCCGTTTCCCATACATTTTCCGATACATACATTGAAATTCTTCCACAAATTCATACCGCAACCAAATTTGTTCAATTCTCCTCAATTCAAAACCGTCAATTCAGATTATGATGGTTATGAATCCAGAATAAGAATCAGATTAAAATTGACCATGGTTAAGTCACTTTGTAATCTCAGCACAGGTAGAAACCAAGAAAACACTACATTGGGATTAATATATAACATATAACAGTTAAGAGAAAAAACTGATATCAAAAATAAATAAAATGATCAGGTAACATATATTTAACATATTTAACATATATTTATCATATTTAATTGGAATGAACTCCTGATTTATTTCGTGTATTACACCAAAAACATTTACAACAAGATTATTTGCAGCTACTATCACACATTCATTATTACCTAGTTTGATCGTGATCCTTCTATGGTTGCACTGTTTCCAATGACATAGCTCGGCGGAGCATTACGATGGCATTACAACGATTAAATCGCTCTTCAAGGACATGACACAATGACATTGGAACTAGGGGAAAAGCAATTGTAGTTGGTTGAATGCACCCCAGGTTAAGCCTGCTATTGAACCGAACACTTCAAGAATTAATATTCCGACCGTTGCTACGCTTTGCATGTTCATTCGTTTGGTGGCTGAAATATAGCTCGCACGACTAGAGACGTTGTTATCAATGACTTCCTCACCGGTACCGTTTCCAATGCTACCAGCAATGTCATCCTTGTTTTCGTACTCATCGTCGTCGTCCTCGTCGTCGTCGTCGCCATCGTCAACGTCCTCGCCAGCAATGTTGGCACCACCCGCATCATCGGTAGAATAATTGTCATTTCCTTCTTTTTGTTCAATCGTGTTCGAGATTGAATTTCCATCGCCTGTAGATGCGTTTCTACCATTAATTACTAGTTGAGCATATTTGTTGAATGCGTTCTGAAACACTAGTGCAGCTCGCCGTTCTTTACTCCTGGGATGCAATGCCAATAAATTACTCGACAGACGAGATAAATGCGGCGGTAAAGGAAAATTATTTTCTTCGTTATTTTTTGCTGTGCTATAATTTTCCAGGGATCCATTTGTCGTTGCTGTTTCCAATGAATTGACGATTTTGCGGCCTCTTCTTTCAGTGACTAGATGTACAAGCGGTACCAAAGAAGAGACGGCCTGTATTGTTCTAGCTCGAAATTGATTGCGAGTCTCATTTAGCCGTTTGGAGATGTGCTCTAATCTTTTCGCTAGAAACCCTTTTTCTGGCTGAATAGGACCAATAACAGACTCATTTGTTTCGAAAGCATAATCGTTGTCGAGTTGAAATGATACCTTCGGCTGGTTAGATTCTTCAATAGGCAATGCTAATCCTACAAATTCGGAAGTAGTTTCTACTTGGTTGTTGTTGTTTTTCGTCTGACAAGGGGCATCTGATGAGATTACCGTCTCTTTGATAACTGGCTCGTGATCCATTTTTTCAGATTGTATCTCACTAGCATTGACAAATAATTTCGATTCTCCGTTGACATCGGTCGCTACATTTGAACTGTTGGTTTTGCTCGTTTCGTTCTTAATAAGTGAATTCATTAAATTTGCGCTTGCAGCATCGATTTCGTTTGACCCAAAATCGCTACGATGCTGCTGTTCTTGATGATGGGGCTGTTGTCGATGTCGTTGCAAGGGAGATAGAAGGCGCTGAAAAGCAACCGTGATCCGTTCACGTGCTGATCCAATTATGTTGCCAATTATATCGGAATACATCTCAGTGACATTGTTGCTTCTCAGCCATGGAAATAACCGAAATCCATTGCTATTCCATAGGATTCCTGTAGATGGTAGCGTATCCGTTTGTTCAGTTGTCGTATTATTTTTACCTTCATCTGTAGAGTCAACTTCGTATCTATCAGATCGGGAATTCGCCTTGGGCTGAGCGCGGAAGTCGCTAACGTGCGACTGGGGATCATCAGGCGTTGAGGACGATAGAGATGTTGCCACTTGGAGCAGTAGATTTTCAAGGAATGGTTTCGCTGCTATTATATGTACCTGTGAAAGGGAAAATACTCACTTTGAGATCTCTTATCATACAAAACAAAATTGAAGTTCACAGCAAAAAAATAATTTTGATATCACATCAAATAATATTAATGTGTAATGTGTAATTATAATAGTAATATGTAATATTACTAGCCAAAAATGACAAAATTATCATTAATACAGTGCATGAACTGACATTACGCTGCTTTTACTGCATTTGTTTATTTTTGTGGCCATAAAAATTACATGAGATTTTCGACATGATTGTAGTGCATCCTCTTGAATGTAATATTAAAATTTATTTTTTGCTGTATTTGTACACTTTTTTTATCTATACAATTACAAGAAACTATCTGTTGACAGGTTTACTTGAAACAAAAATTGGGAATAAATTTTAAAAAATGCCCCGTATAGCGTTGCGAGTGAGCCTATTTTTATTTTATTTAATTTTTTTTTTCTAATATAGTAAAAAAAATAACGTGTGAATTTATGTTCAACTATGGTATTTTATAACTATATAATATTTATATTGTTGAAAATTGAAAATTCAAACATAGAATAGCGCTTGGAAATAAAAACATGATTTGTAATGTAGCACTTTGATTTACGAACAGATAAAAAAAAAATGGAGGGTAGTGTACAAGACACGACCGCATTGACTACGAAATTTTTGTTCGATTTTCTAGTTTGTTGTTTCGGATATTATTTTGGAATTAAGTGAATTTCACAACACAACTCTTTTGTAGAAAGTTGTGGTGGCCCTGAACTCTGATGGTTTCTGGCAAGCTTTGCTATTATCACTAGACCTCGTGTTTATCCGCGTTTATACATATTTCTTGCGCAGAAAATCACTTTGGCGCGGCATTTGTGACCAGCATACCTTCCGGTAGCATGAAAAAGGTCAAAATTTGCCCAAATCTGCCAATAAAATTGTTTGTTTTGCATTTGCTTATAGCAAAATACTGACATTTTCGGGAACATTCACGCCAAAGAACTCAAAAACACGCCGGTTAAGTACACAGACTCGTCCCATCATGAGTATAGTCGCTATATTCATAGTCTGGCGGATAGAATTTCGATTTATCAAAAAGCGGAATAAATTCAATATATTGTAGACCAACAATTGAAAAGGTACTATGAACTTTTATAAACAAAACGTTGATTATTGATTCCTCGCTAATCGAACGCAAATTACCAGCGTTGTCGGATAGGGGAAACTTTCCTCAACCCAAAGATGGTGTTAGTTTGCGTAGGCGACCCTTGAGTCACGAGAAAAGGGTTTCCGAAGTTTTGTTCGCAATAGCTGATGTGCTCTTTTCTGTTATTGGTCGTGATTTGCTCGATTGGTTCCGCTATTTGACAGCTCAATTGGTTCCCGAGATTATATCCGCCAGACTATGAATATAGCGACTATAATCATGAGTAGTTTGCTATCAAGTAGCGACACTGGCTTCTCTCCTTTTGTGCTCTCTGTACTTTAAGTCTACACTCTCTGTACTCTGTATTATTTAACGGTTCGGACGATTTCGAAAATGTCGCGCATCAGGAGAATGCATACGATGAGGGTTTCTCAGTTTATGAAAGTGAAACGGAATAAATTTAGCCCGCCGATAAGACTACAAATAGAACATTATTTATTTCCCTATGATTTTTGTATTATTTTGATGTATTTAGTGACAAATTGAATGGGTGAATCATGGGTTACTCTACAAAGAATACAGAATTTGTATTCTATTCTAACTCTTTTCTGAAATGAACTTGGTGGCCCTGAAAAGGGCCGTTTTGATATGTTGGTGTTAAGTTTTAACCTCCGAAACCATACAGAGTGCGTCCCTGTCGCTTCAGAGCGTAGACGACATCCATGGCCGTGACGAGTTTGCGCTTGGCGTGTTCAGTTTAGGTGACGTCAACACGGATTTTTCTATGAGCACCTTCAGCACACTTCGGGAGCCAGACGACGGATGGCAGGCTTGGTAATACCACAAACGAAGTGCCAGACGGAGCGGCTCGAAAACTTTGGTGACTAACCTGCTATTGCAATTTTTCAGTGTACCACATGGCAACACCACTACTACTGGATTGTACCACATGGCAACACTACTACTAGATTGAACTAGCATTTTCACCAAATGTACTAGAATGTTTTGGTTCTATCTCTTTCACTCTACTCAAAACTGAAATGCATAAAAAAATGACAAAATGATACGCAAAATGGTTGAACGGGTGAATCGAAACTAAGCCAAGAGCGTAGTTAGCAACCTCTTATATAGACAACCAGCTCTGCCGGTACCATATTTTCTCGCTTCCCATTGGCTACATACAGTCATGATGATGCAGCTTTGTCGATATTGGAAAATTCTGCGTGATAACATCCAGGGCCTGCCATCCGTCGTCTGGCTCGACGTGGTGGTGTCAACGTTATCTCCGGTCTGATCTACGAGGAAACCCGAGGTGTGCTGAAGGTGTTCCTAGAAATTATGATCCGTGATGCCGTCACCTGTACTGAACATGCCAAGCGCAAAGTTTTAGCAAGCCTGTGAAGAAGATGTGTGCAATTTTAAGACGGATTTAACTCCGTGTGAATTTTTCCGTTTTGCTTTGCTCACTTCACGGCAGATGAAAGTAACTCAAAATTTAGTTGTATTCGACTCAAACTGGTCAAAAGGAGGGTTACTTTAAGGATGAGTAATATGTGCATCAATTTTCTTCAAAAATCAGTTTGAATGTCAGGAAAATCGATGAAATGTTTACTCAATCTACGAGCTTACTCATAGACGAAATAAAGTTTGCATAAATTTTCCTGATATTTGAGCAGATTTTTGAGAAAAATATTACTCATCCACTAAGTAACGCTATTTTTTGCAATTTTGAGTCGAATTCGACTCAATGTTGAGTTACTCCCATCGGCCGTGTTCCTTTCAATCAAGGAACGTCGATTTTCGAGCTAAATCGAGCTTCAATTTGGATTTCATTTCATAAAAAAAAACACTTAATGACATAAAACATATCAAATCAACAAATGTCAGATAATATGAGGCTTTTTTTCCTGGTTACCCTTCCTTATAAATAAATTAATAAATAAACTTATTTTAAAACAATCATGGAATATCACACCAAGATAAATTGTTTACAGGATTGCCAAATTTCAATTTAAACTAACGATTGCAAACTTTGAACGTGATTTTTTTTAAGGGAATGCAACTAAATATTTGGAATCGTGTTCAGTTTTTTACATATGATAGATTAACCGATAAAAAGTTCAAAGCATAGTGTCTGGATATAGTATTTTAGAAAATTGAAATAAATGTTAAAACAAGATTTTTAAATTTATGACGCATTTTTTTACAGCAATGGAATTAATTTCCAGACTTATTATTTTTAATGATTTCAGCAGATAACTGAACAAAGAATTAATAGCTTAAGTTTTTGGTGCAGTGTTGCCGAACAAATATTCGCGATTGAAAACTATAAATGAGACATTTTCAAAGTTAATGCAATTATATTTTTTACTAAATCTATCTATACACTGTCTAATATTACAGACAAACAGACAGAAAATTTCACACAATGATCATCGTTCACTCATTTAACGGTTGGTTTAATTTGTTGTTAGCCAGGACGAGAACCATACAATGTATTATCGATTAAAAAGTAGAAATGTTCGGATTATGTTGATACTACATCTTGTTTTTCTATCTTCAACGCATAAATACATTGTGCTATTTCCGAACGATCTATGCATTGATTTCAATGCTTCGCTGTCCATCAATCTAATTTAAAAATTTATTTGCAAAAATTCAGTACATGAACCTATTGAAGCACTAGAAACAGTTTTTATGACGATTTGATTAAAACCAGAAAGGATTGAGTGAATAATGGGAGTAGGTAGCGCTGATTCCAAGGGGACCTCTAATATCTTGTTTTCTTCCCAGCAGTTTTCAAAAGACACAAGTTACATCCACAATTATGCAAATCGTGAAATGTTTCTTACATAATAACTCTGCGATAAACTGATTTTTTTTCTAGGGTCATATTTGACAAGATTGTATATAAGTCTAGGATATACTTATGCTTTACACACTTAGTTTTTTTCTACCGAGCTCTTCTGTGCAAATCTCGGCAAAAAAAGTTTTACTGAGATCTCAGCAAACATATCATTCAGATTCAGCTGAGCATTATCTAAGACTCAGTAATCAAATGTCTATGAAGAGCTTTGAGTGGGATGGTTTATTTCCTTTAAATTCCGTTATAATTGCTTATCTTTTGACAGATACGCGTATTTTGTCTACTACTTGCAGACTTCATCAGTGCCAAGTACTCAACACCACTGAAGAATCCATCTTTTATCTACGAATCAAATGTCACTTTTGCTGAGACCTCAGTGAAACATATATTTGCCGAGAGTTGCACAGCCGAGCTTGGTAGAAAAAACTAAGTGTGCAACATGTCACGTTTTTTTTTTGGTGGCCCCCTTACTACAATGGAGTATTATCAACAATCAATACGAAACTAACGATTTTAAATTGGCTCACCACTTTAGTAGCCTATTGGTCCCAAGCAAACGATTAATGTACCCCATTCTAGTCGAAAATCTAGTACTACACTATATTTGTTTTGATTCGCTATGAAAGTTTGACAGATAAAATGAGGGGTTATTGGTTTTTCCCTCAGAGGAAGAGGTGACAATTGGCTTCTTCCTCTTTTATTTCTATCTCTATCCCTATCTTTATCTATCTCTATCTCTATCTTACGCACATGAAATCAGCCAATCAGGAGCTGGGTCACGTTTGACAGAAAAGTGGTTCATTTTCGCCCCCGTATTGTCATCTCTTCTCTTAGGTTTTTCCTATGTTTCGAGGGGTGATTCGACAAGCTTGGGACCGAAGATAGTACCAGAGGTGAGCCCAAAAATTGAGCACGTTTCTTCGGGACCTACACGGTAACCAGCGTAAACACATAAATGAGTAAAAAAATACACATTTTTCATATTTATATGCAGCTGTCAAAAA